GCTGCTAGATCTTATAATTAAGTAATATAATGCCCACTGAGAAGAAGCACGCTGCTAGATCTTATAATTTTAACTATTCATGTAAGCTCTCATAGTTGGATGAGCGAGCTTATAATGTATTAGTAATAAAATGTTTACCAGCGCTTCAATACATATTACATTTCGCGCTGGAGGTATGAGTGAGCTAATAATGAGTGGATCACCGCTGACGAGGGATGCCTGTGAAAGAGTTCCATGTTTGGCATTTGGCCTCGAGTTCCAAACAGTTCTCGATTAATGAAGCTACTCGACGTAGCCCCAGTCTTCCTTGATCATGGAGGCGCCTTTCTCCCCAATCATCATGGTAGGAGCGTTCAAGTTGCCTGAGAAAAAAGAAAAATGAAAATTTCAAAATTCATTGATGACAAAGAATGAAACTTTGCCTGCCATGTCAACGACAATTTAAGCAGAAAACAATGGTGAAGAAAAACATCCTGTAAGATAATTAAACTTAACTTTCGCCTTTTGATAGTTGATCTTACTTGATGTGATTAGTGGCATGATTGAAGCATCGATGACGCGTAGTCCCTCCACGCCTCGAACTCTGTGTCGTTTTACAATCGAAAATTTTAGAGAAATGCTTGTAATATCGGCCATTATTATGATCGAATGTGGAATGTTCGATTATGTCACCTTAAATCATTTCATTAAAAGCCGAGATGAAAATGTGTAATTACACAAACATAATAACTTATCAAAAACATTGACGTTTGATGTGACGCAAAATTATGCTCCTGGATGTACCTACCATGAACAGTATTGGCATAGCAGTATTCTCGCAGCTTACTGGGCTTGAAATCTGAGACATAAATTCTCCAATTTCGCTATTCACAACCACCTAGTTACCTTGTCAATTTCGACCAGAACTGTCACAGAAAACTGGGTTCGAACCCACAACTGAGTTCGAACTCTGGTGCCCTGGATTTCAACCACTCGTCTACCTTGTCAGCCTCAACTGAGCTGAATTCAATCAGAAATGAAGCTTCTTGCTATGTTCAATTGCCTGAAAACGCGGCCTTTGAGTCGAAGCCTAGCTGACCTTAAAATTACAAGTTGATACCACATTGTAGTCATATCACACGGGCAAAATTTATTAATTTTAAAAAATTTGACATGCCACATAAATGTGTCCCCCTGATCACAGCGGAGCCTAAAATAGGACGCGATATATTTGTCCAGTTGAATGAAATGAGCTTCATACATCATCAAAAACAGCAACTTTAGTAGGCGACATATATTGACTGCAGGACCCTAAAGGTTTGATAGCACGCGGCAACTGACTTGAGTCTCGGGGAGACCACGCCATCAGGGTCTGACGGGGGCGCCATCTTGCAGGTGCCGCTGGGATGATAGCCTATGGACAGCATGCGGCGGACAAAGCACCTCCAGTAGTCGTCAGAGCCGTGCTTGAGGTGCTTGCATCCTAACAGTGGCTGATGAAAAAGTTATGATTTACTAACGGCATATGGTTACTTTTTAGATGGGGGAATGTCAAATTTGTTAGTAACGCGAAAATCTGAATCCAGGCGTCATTTTTGCGTACCGCTAACGCAGGACGATTTACTTGTTAAAGAATGATGCTGAAGTTAGTGTCCATTGCGTTTAGGAATAATAAAAATTGAGTAAGACACACATGAGGGTCTTATTTCAAAATATACCCTATAAATTCTACAACGCAAAATGACATCTGACTGATGTAATAGTTTGTGTGATGAATTGATCAGTTATTTGTCTGCATTTTTTAAGGTTGTATAACCCATGAAGGATAAGACGTCAGGCAGGTATATTAACATTGTCATACTATAAATGTGTAATATTCCAATGTTTGAAGACATAGCAATCATTCTTCGCCATTACTTTTCAGACTCTTTTTCCATGCTCTCCGTAGACATGTAACATCAGTTTTCGCTAGCGTGTGGGAGCGGGTGTCCTCAGTTCCGAACTGATCGAGTGGCATGAGCAGGTAGCATATAATAAATTTAGGATATTATCTGGCAAATGGTGAACTCAATGCTTGTGCTACTTGATAAATCCTAAGCTTTCTTCAAGTCCAAGAGAAATTTTCTATTCAAAAATTTTAATTAGCCTATTTTCTCTCACTTTATCGTAAAGCTTGGCTCCCAGTCCATCCTTCAGTGCCGTGGTGTTGCCGATGATCAATGCATACTTTATGCCTGCAATCGAGAACAGAAATCCATGAACTGACCTCTGATTACCACCAAAGCTCATGGAAAAAGCGAGTATAACACTAACTAATACAATTTAAAAATGCAAATATGACCTCTCCTGTTATGTGGAACACATTGGCCCTCATAATTTATGATAGAAGAGGAAAAATATATTTACTTGTGATAGATTTCAAATAGTCGACGATTTCACCGTTTAACTTGAAGTTCGCTAGAGAATAATTTGTTCTTTATTTAATCGGCAAAAACGATTAGAATGTGAAAGAGAGATAGAGTGGTAATAACCAAATGATCACAGTGCTTACTTTTCAACAGCATCTCCACGTCATCGGGATGACTCAAGTAATTCGGGTCGATCACTGGAGCTTCCATGGGATTCTTCGAGCGCAGTGAGACTGAGCCACGGCTTTTGGGCCAGTTTAACTTAACTGTAATGACGAACCCAGTTCTACCGCCTTGCTCACGCAAATAGTCTTGGAAAACCTGCAGCAATTAAAAACGTGAATTAACCGAAGTAGCGATAATGCAATTCGATTTGATATTTCGATCAATGTATTAAAAGGCTTCCCAAAAACATTGTGCGATTGTCCGAAGTAAATTTTAAATCCAAAAGTAGATACATCTCAGGCGGGTTCCGTGGGATCATCCAGTCTGAGGGCCGCATGCTTTTGCAACTACCATAAGTGAACTTTATGATATGAATTGGAACGCATGCACTCACAAAGAGTTTATGGCTGATAGATCCGAATTGGAAGCGTTCTAGAAAGAGATATTGATGTTAAATTGACATCTACTTAATTTTTTATTTTCATTTGGTATGGTTCTCCCAATTCAAATTCAAGTATCTTTTGGCGGCAAAGAAACAAAAAATATTTTTCGATCTAGAAAAGATTTCATACAGAAGAATAAACTTTGATTCAAAAGAAGATAGGTCTCACCTCGCGGGTGTATCCGTAGGTAGAGACCCCAACGAGACCGAAGTCAGTGCCCATCAACACGGATTGGAACAAAAATAAGGTATCTTCTACGTTAGGGTCCGGGTCGACTCCCAGATTCACTGTGAAGTATCCAACGACTCCAAACGGCACACTCAACGGGCCTGTCCACCAAGAATCAAACCTCAGTTCTTCTCCGCACGAAAAAAAAAAAAACTCGCGATGGTCTTGGTAGTGTAACGGATTGTCTTTTAAACAACTCAATCCGATTGGTTAGTAACAAAATACAAATATTTTCAGCATGGAAAATCGTTCCCTTATGTTTTTTAAGGTGTAATATTATACTTTTTTCCTAGTTTTATGCGTAACTAGATATTAGCGAATTTGTGGAACTGGCAAGCCACTTTTTTGTACAGATGCCCTAATTGAACTTACTTCTATTCAATGCATTCGATTGCAGTGCATGCACTTACGGATTAAAGTATGTAAATTTTTCAATGAAGATGCATCGATTGCCTTACAAGGCTTACATGATAAATACTATAAGGATTATCTTACGTATTATTATGATCTCACCAGTCCGGTTTCTGATGTAGTCTCTTTGCGAATTCCCGCCATACATCATTGGGATGAGGTTCTCGGCGTTCCTCTCCGTGGTGTAGGAGATTCCTGCCACCAAAGGGTGATCTTGAAAATTTTGTCCGACGCCTTTGAGGTCGACCACTGATCGAATCTACAATACGTACGGATCGCAAACGTTTATAATGGGAGTAAAGGTTTATTCAACGCGCCCTAAGAATAACGTCAATCATATGATAACGTAGTTTTTTACATAGGGAATGTCTTCTGGTGCCACTCGAGTGGAGGTTGTCAAACTAAAATTTCTATGACAATGATAAGCTAATGCTAGGAAATGTAGAGCATGAAGATATTTCTTCCAATTATTCATGAAAAACTAATATTTAAGGAATCGTTAGCGATATTTTACCCACCCCATGTGTTTGAAGTTGTTCCTTTGGACCGATGCCTGAGAGCAGAAGTAGTTTGGGGGAGTCGATGGCCCCGGCACTCAGGATGACTTCCTTCCTGGCGTAAACTTTCTTCACCTGTTCCAAAAGGTTTTTCAAGTATCATACTTTTCACGAATTTATGTATTATGTTTTTTTATCACTTACGTTATTCAATTACTATTTTTAGATCTCTTAATTAAGATTCTTCACTCTTATGTCTCTTTTCACACATTAGCCTAAATAATATGCCTCTTCTAAACTGATAAAAGCTTTATGATAAGGTAAATGGCTGGAAAATATATTCCAAAAAGCCTGATGTGTGCGGAAGCAAGAACAACATCAAATATTTTCATCAACCATCATCAGGGTAATAAAGTAAACCAAGTGCACGGTACAAGAACTGTCCAGGAAAGTCAGATTACAAAAAATATTCTCTTGTCTGATGAAGAACCACGAACCTTTCCGTTGTGGATGTACATCACACCAATCGCTCGGCGACCACCATTGATCAGTATCTGAAAAAGACAAATGGGTTGAAATTTTAAAACAAGCCATCCCTTTGTCCGAATTTCAGCGTAACTTACGCTGAATGGGTAACATTTAATAATAATAATACAGGGTGCGGCGCGGGAACTTACTTATTTGAATTGCGCGCCACGTGGCGGCCATTAGTCCTAGGAAGGTGGCGCCATGCGCAATATGGTGCGCGGGCTATGAAGTTTTTCGTCCACTCAGTTCAGTTGCGACCATGCAGTGGTCGAGAGAGGAGCGCGCGTTCGCAGTCTCTGTGTACTTTAGATGTAATATTCAAGAATTAAACTTGTAAGTAAACCCAACGAAACTTTAAATGTAGCTCTTTGTAAAAAAGAAAGAATTAAAACGCTATCTTTAATACTTTTTACTTTGTGATTTTTTTAAAAGAGTAAGTTCCCACGCCGCACCCTGTAATAATAATTAGCGGTTTCAGCGTTTATTAGACCGGAGGCATGTCGCCGATTCTTCACATTGCAGAACATTCACAACATTTTGCGGTCTCGAACTCCCAACTAACTGCTTCAATTCTGCTATGCTTAACCGTCCGGCCTCCTCGCCGATTCTGACAAGAAACTGGCGCACAGAGCTGGGATCGAACCCGCGCCTCTCTGCGCCAATCTTGGTACTCTGAACTGTAACCACTGGGCCGTCCAACATTTATTTAGCTGTAATTTTGCACCGATTGCAATCACCTTGATGACTTGACTGTGGGACTGAAGTCGAAGGTTCTGCCGATGCAAGTTTGGTTTTAGGAAAGCATCCGATGCAGAGTGACGCTCCCCGTTGATAGTAGAGAGGTCAGGAGCGTTGTAACCTGTGAACGAGTTCAGCGTGTTATGCTGATTATTACCGGCCTATCTAATAAAAAGCTGATTCTGCAAAATATCAAAAATTGTCATCTTGACACTTTGTTCACCGACGACAACTTCAGTTAGCAGCCGGTTTTCGGTAATAAATAACTCCACCGCCGTATTATAGTAAGGATTCATTGCATTGGCATTTATACGTTTCTCTTGACATAATTTGATGTGGAAGAGCTGCATATTAGCCTCTTAATAATATTTTGTCTGCTGCATTGACACCGTATATATCATTTTTAGATACTGGTAGCGATAGATCCTCACTTAAATCGATTTAATTGAACATGGTGGAATTCGATTTTTCTTTAATTACATCAAAGGTTTTTCGAAATCCATGGTTTTTTAGTACTAGCGGTACTAAACGGGTTTGGAATAGTTACAATAAAGTAATGCTTCCTTAACTAACTTTATCAATATTGCTTTGTTTGTTTTCGTGCAAAATTCGAAAGCAAAAACGTGTCATGCAATAAATTAAAAATTCTTTAGAAATCGTTAGCAAGCTGTGGTCAGTAGGAAATAAAGTTAATTTCCTGCCAACTAATGTCATGCTATATTTAGTATAGTATAGTATCTTCGGCATTAAATAAATAGGCCTGGATAGGCCTGTCGCCGATTCTTGTACTTTTCTTGACTAGACTGGCCTTACGGACGGAAGATATCAGTTGTTCCGTAGGGTACGAGGCATTTTAAGACTGAACATATGCTCATGCAAGTTGTCGTTGAAATGAATATATCTCTTTATCTCTTCAAACTTATCTCTACTCATGATGTCTGATATTGCGGCCAGTTGCAGGCCTTTCTTCCAGTATGTCCGATAGCTGGGAACTTTTATAATACCAGTTAGAAGTAGAATTCCCAAAAAGCATTTCATGTCAGTATTTTCAAGACGCATCTCTTTGCCATCAGTCTGTAGTGCATGCAGTTTAGTTTGTTGAACAATGAAATCTATAAGAGCATCATCAAAAATCAAATTGAAAAATGAAGTTGCACTAAATGTTTGCCATTCTTCATCAACAATAAGACGGTCTTTCCATTCAATATCATTAGGCGGAGATAAATCTTTTTTTCTCCATATGAATTCATTTATTACATTCTTAGCTGATCTCTGTTGCTCTGCCATAATTGAAAGTGGAATATCATCTTCAGATGCACCATCATGCACTTCGATATTTGGCAAGGTGCGAATATGTTGGATAGTATCTTCTTCTTCAATATCATCATATACAGCAGATTCAAATTCTTCATCATCTTCATCAGATTTATCACCAGCAGGACAGAGTACCATCTTCACAGCTTCATCTAATGTCAGAAACTTCCTACCCTGGCGAATTGCTGAGCACTTCTGTACCTTTTCATATTCGGTCAAGTGTTCTGTGTTAGATCTACTTGGTCCCGGCTGCTCATAAGACATGATGGATCTGCAATATAATATAAGGAATAACTACTTAGGACTACAACAAAAATTTCATTGGTAATCAAGGAAATAGTACTGTCACGACGCTCTTCTACTCAGTTGTTTACCAACTTGTGAATTACTGCCGGATGTAGCAAATAAGCTACATATCATTTCAAAACCTTAGATTTCAAAAGGTTCATGTTATATAATATTTTTGACAGTTTAATACCTTACTATGCATCATTACCTATACAATGAGTATGATTTGCACTAAGATAATCATTTGGAAATATTTTTAATCGCGATATCAAATAATGAAAAAACAGCGTAACACTCACCAGACTCAGGAACGTGTTTTGACGCGTCTTCTCTTCTCTCGATCATAGCACTCTTTGCAACGGCGTTTAAAAATATCCTAGATTGTAATTAGAAATGCCCTAAAAATAGACTAGAATTGTGTACTTACATTAAAATACGATTTTTCAAGTGTACGAATATTTATTTCCCCCCACTGTACGTAACTCTACATAAGAAATATGGCAGTTAGTTCTATATTAATATGGCAGTTTAACAAAGTTTTGATTTAATTAATATCATCTCATGACTAATTTCAGTGTACGCGTGAATTTTTGTCGACCAAAGCTATAACAGATACGAAGTCTCAATAAACGCTCAAAATCGTTTTACCGCTAGATATGTTTGTACTATATTGAGTTCAAAGACAAAATGACGAAAACATCTTTTACTTTTGTCCATTGTTCGATTAAATAATTCTTCACCTATAATTAAACTGATCAACAACGTATATTGATATACGTTATATTGTTATACGTATTGATATATTATACGTATTATATATTATATATTATATAATATATAATATAATACGTATATATTATACGATTGATATATTCGCCTATATTGTTACGTAGTACATGGCCACACCCCTGAATGGTTAAAATTATTTTTGTAAGATACTTCACAAATGAATGGATTTCGAAAAGGTCAAATGGGCACTAATGAATAATTATATTATTTGTGCCCTAATGAACAACTTTCTTTGTTCACGTTATATCTGATTTTTAAATATTATGTTTTACTTTTAGCTCGTAATACTGTCAGTGTAAATGATTGAACTGGTTTGAAATGAAGTTGTAAAGATTCAATGCTTATTTGAAGGATCAAGGTTCATTATAATCATATTTTTCAAACGCCAATGTTTAATAGGAATAAAAGTCTATGTGATATTTGATATCTATATTCTATGCATGAATTGACTTGTCTAAGAATGATCATTACAATTGTGTAATCAACTGCGATTAAGTTAATGTCATAATGTGAAACTATTTCGAAGTAATTTGGTATATGACGTTTGTAAATTTGAATTTTTAAATTTGACATTCAATTCAATTATTGCTCGGGTCAATTTTTTCTGCTTTCATGTCCGAATTTCACACTCACTAGTCACTATACCTTTAGTACTTTCTCATTCTTTCGCTTAAATTCTTATAAAGTCCTTAGAATTTCTAGATACATATATAGTTAAAACAGTCACTTCTTGTTTTATTTTCACATATTTAATTGTTTAAATGAATGAAACTCCATTTATACACTGTAATCTGTTTTTGAAATTAATCGTGACGATTTTCTCCTTATACCTAGACCCAGTAGGCTACCATAATATTATTGACCTTGGAATCGGTTTATCTTGAAACGAATGAAGCTAAATAAATATATGCTTATCAACATTAATTTGTTCGAAGGATCTGAGGTGGCGGCAAGTTGGTTACAAGAGGACAAATAAAAATTTGATGAGAAATCAAAAGATTGATTTCCTTTTAGAATACGAAATGCTAGATAAAACTAAGCATCATGTACTGAAAGCTGAGGCAGTGCTAACGAACTAAGCTAATTGCTAACGAACAATATTTAAGGCAGTGCAATTTCTATCACAAAGTGAACACGTTCGCAAAATTTCACCTAAAGTTGGACATGTTTTGTAAAAGCGCGTAAAGTTCAGGGAATGAGAGGAAAAAAAATTAGGCCCATTATCAGTCAAAAGCAGCCGAACTTACCTTAATTCACTTTGTTGATAGATTTAAACGAAAAATACTTATTCTGATTAATTACCTATTCTTCACTAGTCGGGGTTTAGTTTTAGCCGCTTGGTCACATGGGTTCGGGTTCAGGGCACTTGGTCCGAGGCTCCCCGGACCTGACATGAAAATTTTCTAAGTAAATTTCCAAAAATTCGATAAAGAAGTTTTATGTTTTCTGGACGTTTCAGAACATTCTCTATCGATTAGTTCGATCGAAAAATTACCTTTTCTGTGACCCGAATACATGGGTCCGGACTCCGGGTTTTAGTCACTTGGTCCGGGGCTCCCCGGACCTGACATGAAATTTTTCCAAGTAAATTTAGGAAAATTCGATATAAAAGGCTTATGTTTTCTGGACGTTTCAGAACATTCTCTATCGATCAGTTTGATCAAAAAATGAACTTTTTTGTGTCCCTCATATGTTGGTGCGACGAAATTTTTCTAAGTAAGTATGAAAATTTTATATGTAAAATTAAAAGTTTTCTTGACGTTTCAGATAATTTGCAGCCTTTTATTTTTGTGAACCTGGTCCGCCGGACCGGTCCGGGTCCGGGTTCTAGTCACTTGGTCCGGGTCCGGTGGACCGGTCTGGGTCCGGGTTGTAGTCAGTACCGGCTAGTATATAAATATATATAGGGTAGCACAACGGCGTAACTGACGTCTGACACTTAAGATAATTTTGTGTTGACAGTGGCCCTATTTGTGCCAAATAAACTGTTAAGAAGCCCTGCGAAAATTGTTAATAATTAATTAACAAATGGATAATTGGGCCTCAAGAGCAGGTTCCAGCTTAACAAAAACGCCTATTCGCTAATGCCTCCCTGCATTGTCTCGACTTTCGTTGCCCTTGGTTATACTTATAGTGGTTCGAGTGAATATGAGGGGCCATGGTTACAAATCTACTGCTGAGTTTCGGCTAAGCGTGTTTTAGCCTTTTTAGCGCATATTCTCATTTACGGAAAAAAGGCGCTATTGTGCTCGTCATGTCCGTCCGTCTGTCTGTCTGTCCGTCCGTAACTGCACCCATCTGAACGTCCGTAATTTCACGAGAAAATGCGCTCTCTGTCACTTACTGCAGTGAGTACTGAGTTATATTTTTAAATACATTTGTTGTTATGGTGTAATTTGATTATGTGATTTCTGCGGAGATTTCTTGTTGATTGAATCCATCAGCCACTTAGCCTCCAGTAGTCTCTCCACGGGACTTGAGCTTCACGAGGATTTACGTACTGGTGCTATGTTTCTTTACGTTTCTCAAATCCAAGCTAATAATGGTGTTAAAAATGGCAAAGCATTTTAACTATCTTCAGAATGACCTTTTATTTAATGCTAAAGTTTTAAGTGCCTAAACATGAATAGTGCTATTTTCAATGACAACCTTTGATATGCTGACCACCCAAGGAACTTCTCTTAATGCCGATTATAGAAGACTTAATTATTGAGATCGATTGCAAATTCAGAGAGGTATAGTTGGTGAATATCAAGAAGATGGATATATTCATGAAATTATTTAGAAAAATTGTACAAACAGTCATAATCTATCAAATTTATTTATGATGTAAGTATAAGAATGTGTTGAACAAAAAACTATGACTTACTTCTAATTTCTGAGAAATTTCAGGCATAAGTTTCACATACACACTTGTTCCGTGCCTTGTATTATTTAGGTGACGTTGGAAGTAGCTTCA